TTTTTCTCTGTCTCCCTAGCAAATTAACATGAAATTTGACTGATATTAATTACGATTTACACAGAAGATTTTTTTTTTTTAATTATAAAAAAAAACACACAATTTGTATGCACACAAGGGAGAACAGCTAATTAGGTCCTTACTTAATGACTTGATAAGATAGCCCAAACCAAACTGAGAATTCATTTGCCTTTCCGGCAACTTGAAGCCATCCATACTAAGCCGCCACGACGGTTCGCTCGGCAGTTCTCTCGCAATCCCCGCCAACGCCAACGCCGCCGGCGACAGCAGTTCCGTCCTGTAGTCTGATGAATCGGTTCGAAGACCGTTGGTAGCTTTTACCATTTTTTCTTTTTTGCTGTATAACACTAATCTCAAGTATACAAGATTAAGAGAAGCAAAAACTAGGATACTTATTATATTAACAACGCCCGTAGTATATATAAAGGAAAGAAACTTTGGGGATTAATAAATGAATTTTGGTTTAGTTGGATTCTCTTTACCTAATCTCTATAAGAAAGTTGTAAAAGCGTGGAGAATGTCGGTTTCTTAGATGCATGCTGCCTAGATGTGCTCCACCCCCCATGTAAACTTTTTTTTTTTTTTTTTTTTGTCCCTCCAGATTCTAATGTAGTTTATTAGAAGCGGTGCACATATAAAAAATTTGGAAATCATCTATTCCACAAAAAGAGCTGACTTTTCATGAACAAGCAAATGTAAACGGAATCTTGCATTAGAAAAAAAAAAAAAAGTAAATATAAAAGAAAAGAAAAGGAGAACAATGTGTAAGGGATATCTTACTTAAATATTAATTTTCAGCTAATTTACTCTTCCATAAATGTAGGAATACGATGTTCACTTTATTTTAATTAGTGTCGTAATTGACTTCTCTATTTCCTTCTTAAATTGAGCTTCTCTTTCTCCCTAAGTTACAAGTAGGGGTGTAATTCGGCCGGGTAGGCTCGGGTTGGGCCGAGCTGCACACTGCGGGTTCAGAAAATTTTAGGCCGCAACACTCTCTTAGGCCCACAAACCCGTAACTTTTCGGGTGAGCTCAGGTATGCTTGGGTTAGTCAGCTTAGGCTGAATGTTGGGCCTCTGTCCAGAGATTGCTAAAGAAATTTTCTCAGTTTTAGGCAAACATGTTACAATCTTACGAACTAAGATCAGAGTCTTAATCAAATTGAAAACAAAATTAGACTCGAAAAATAACAAACACAAAGAAAGGGTTATTCCCATATTCTTACCAATGCTGGTTGTTCAAACTGATCTTCATTCTGGCTACGGTGAAGCACGAACAAGAACAATCCTGCAATGGAGAACAGCCCAAGAAGCACCCAGATCCAATTCGGAAACCGCATCCGAACCGGGGGCCGAAAATCGGCCCCCTGCCGCCGCATCTTTTTCGACGACTCTCTCCCAGACGGCAAGGCTAGCAGAGAGAGAGAGAGGCTGAGGACTTGGAGTCTGGAGATGCTGAACAGCGCGCAGAGAGAGAGAGGTGAGAGTGAGATATTAGACTGAGTTAGGGCATTAGGATTTTTTTTTCCACTGATCTCATCGGCCGGGTCGGGGAGTATGAGAAGAAGAAGAGGAAGGGCGGAGGAACGACGGAGGAAGTGAGAAGAAGAAGAAAAGGCGATGAAGGAAAGAAACGAAGAGAGACTCAGAGACTTGAGAATTGAGAGAGGTAGAGAGGCAAGGCAACGCAGAGAGTTTTTCGAGTCTAATTTTGGGGCTGAGGTAGGTGAGGTGTAGAGTTTTTTTTAACACTCAGTGTGTTTTTCGGCCGGATAGGGTTACACGGGGTAAATAGAGCCTAACCCGCGACCCTACCAGCCCATTGCGGGTTGGGCTAATTTTAAACCGAAAGAAAAAAAAAAAACCTATATTTTCGGGTAGGGTAGGGTCGGGTAGGCTAGGTTAATCGGGTTCGGAGTGATTCCTTACACCCCTAGTTATAATGTTTGGGGCTTCACATTAATATATAGATTACTCCTCTATTTTGGAAATCACTACTGTGACTGCATGCACCGCTGGAGTACTATGGTTGTTTACTTGTTTATGAATTTTAACATTGTTTATGATCAAATTAATCTTTGTTAGTGTAATTTATTATTAGCACTGTGCTCATTAGCTGCTGCTACCTTTGATCTCTTTGTCTTCTCTCTCTGTATTTCTATCTCTATCTCTATCTCTCTCACAACTTATAAATTCCAAGTCTCCATAATGTGATAATAAACTTGTAAGGGAGATGATCACTTTTTTTTTTAACTTGGACAGGTGGATTAAAACTCGTCACTGATGGATGTGGAATTACCATTAGGCTATGCTTGTAACCGCGAAGATCACATGTTTGTAGTATGAAATTCTATAATCTAAGAGAAATAATCACATGTCCGTAGTATGACTAATTTGCATAAAAGAAAGATTAGTGAACAAATAATCACAATCGTATTATTTATTTCTGGACTAACAACGAGGAAAAACCAAAACGCTCCCCCAAATGCTCTTACAAAAAGCCCAAAGTTGAGGCTGAATGCTAATTTCAGTCCCAAGGTACGAGTTGGACATGGACAGAACATGTTAAGAATTTTGTCATTCCAACTGAAAGAACTAGAATTATGCTACTTTATAGACCCACCAATCTAAGAGTGACCTAATAGATTATCATCGATAATCTACCAGTTTATATCGCCTTTTCAACACGCATTGATGGCCGTCTTAGTTTGACGACTTCAGCATGGACCCGTTTTTCGTCTCTGGCAACAAGACAAGATCAGTAATCTATTAGATTAACATCGGTAGTCTACTATATTATATCTCCTTTCCAGCATAGATCACCAATCGTCTCTCATATCGATTCCCAAAGTAATCTGGTAGATTAACTTCGGTTTTTCCGCCTTTTCAACAAAAAAAAAAAAAAAAATGGCTGCTAATGTTTCCAAACTAGGTATAGTCAGAGGAAAAAAAAAAAAGGCTGCTAATGTTTCGAAACTAGGTATAAAGTCAGAGCATTTTCGATATTTACTATCTGGTAAATCCCTGATTTACTATTTCAGATTTACGAGATGTTTGGTTGGAGGATTTAAACTATAATTTAAATCATAGTTCATAATTCGCTATAATATTTTTTTTCATAAAAAATACACGTAAATTAAAAATGATTCTAATCACATAATTTTAATCCATGAACTAAACGTCTCAAACATTTCCCACAAATTCAAACATTTTCCACAAATTCAATCATTTTTTTTAATTGCTCCCCCAAAGCGGCTATTTCCCTCCAACTCCTCCTTAAATAATACAAGATCCTAGGAAAAAAAGGAAAAAAAAAAAAAGAGGAATTAGGCTGGGGCCAAATTGACACTGCAGCCTTTCCATATTAGCCATATGTCCTTGTTTTAATTTGGTTTTTTTGGTAGTTTTCCATGTTTACCCCCACCATATCTCATTCTTCTTCCTCTTTTTTTATTTTTATTTTTTTTTCTCTGGGACTATAATGTTTAGATTTGGTTCGAACTTCGCCAATCTGGTTCTTCACCATTGTTGTCGGCAGACGAGCTTCGCCGATCTGGTTCGCTGATTTTCTTCACGATTTTCTCTGAGCAATTTGCATCTCCGTGTATGACATTTGGATCTCGTCTTTGTCTTTGGCTAGAGTCTTCTTCTCCGTCCATGACCACGCTGCACAAGGCGGTGGCCGCATATAGGATCTCGCCTCCGATGAGAAGAGATAACGTCAACGCCAAGACGCGCAGTTTCTGCTTTACATTTTGGGCTTGGGTTTGACAGATCCAACAATATCAATTTTGTTTATTTACATTGGACGTTTTGCTCGTCAGTTCAGAAACAAAACATGATTTATAATTTTATTTATTCATTATTTGGCGTATAAACTTGGCTAATATAATATATTATTATTTTAATAAAAAATAGATAATAGAATCTAGGTGTTAAATATACATGAGATAATGAAGTGCACTATCAAATAAAAATATAAGAAGTGAAAATACGATAATTGAGTCCACGTATCAAACATGAATGTAGAGACAAAAATAATGATGATAGCATTTCTTAAAGAGTTTTTAGTAATTACCTCATAAACTTGTCGTAGTTTAATAAATTACCCCGTAAATTTTTAATTTATACAATTAATCTTTAAAACTTGTAAAATTGTTGTAATATGAACAATTTTACTAAATTTATTCAAATTTTTTATTAAATTTAAGGGATTAAAAATTAAGAAATTGAAAGATTTGTATTATATTTAAATTGAGATGTTAGAGGCTTTTGTCGAATGTGCTTTTTCGACACTAATAACAATTATCATTAAAATATGATATATTACAATAATTTTACAAATTGCGGAGCAACTTTTTAAAAGTAAAATTTTAGGTGTTTTTTTCGATACCCTAACATATCAGTAGGCTAAATTTTTTATCGGTCGGATTTGTATAAAATCACGTAAAAATTAAAAAGTATGCAGATTTAACAGTTAGATTAAAGAATCTCCTAAATTTAGAACATAAATTGATAAAACTATACAAGATTAGGGAACAAATGTGAAATATTCTGGTTGTGTTTGGAGTTATTTTTATTTTTATTTTCACATTTTTTAAGAAAGAAAAAATGAAAATAGGAGAGAAACGGCGTTTGACATAATTAAAGACAAAAAATAAAAATTAAAACGATTTTTTAATTTAATGTAAAATAAGAGAAAAATAAAAAATAATTTTTAATCATTTTTATTTTTTATTTTCATTTTTTCCTCTCTCTAATATAGAAAGACATTAATAAATTATTTTATACTAAAAAAAATCTTTTAATAAAATTACTAAATACATTTTCAAAAATAATTTATTTTTAAAATTAAAAATATTTTTATTTTTATTTTTATATAAAAAAATAAAATTATTTTAAAACCACTTTCAAGTCTCGACAAGTATTATCATAGTCACTAATTTTATATTATTTTTTATTTTTAAGAAGACAAAAAACAATTAAAGCCAGCCCACCCCCTATAGAGAGAGACAGACAGAGAGAGAGAGAGGAAGCCAAGAGTGGGAAGTGGTTCTGTGAGAGAGAAACAAAAGACTAGCTCGACAAACCCTAGCTTTCTCTCTCAAGAACCCCTCTATCTCTCTCTAAAAACAGAAGAATTTCGCTTGTTGTTCTTTCTGCCACCTCCAACCAAAATGGTTAGTCACTTATCGCCTTTCGCGTCTCTGAATTTCGTTTCTTTTGGTTATAAAACAAGTTCGAAACTTGATACTCGTTCTTAAAGAAATTATTTGAATTCGTATTCTTTGAATTTCTGTTTCAAGATCTCGTTGGTCGTATAGGAAATTGTTCGCTCCTGGTAAAACCATAATGTTTTTAACAAATGAAAGTAATTAATTACGGTTAATCAATTATCTTAAGCATAGTTAGGAGGAAAGAAAGTTTTATCTTCTCTTCGAATTAGATTATTATATTTTTCTCAAAGGTGAAAATCTTAGAAGTTTAGTAGATCATTTCCAATTTTTTTTCCCGGCCGGGGGAAAAAAGGTACCTGTTTTCCCCTCATAATCATAAGGCTAAAACGAGAACTTACCCCCTATTTTTTTTTTTTTTCTTTTTTTCATTTTCTGTAAGATTTTCTTGGGTTGCTATATATATATATATATTCCTCTTTCTCTGTAATATTTTCTTGGGTTGCTTTATATTATCTTTTTGATTTTCTGTAAGATTATCTTCGGTTGCGTTATATCATTTTTTTATTTTTTTTAAAGTGTTATTATTGCGTAGTAGTTAAGTACTTAAACTAGCGTGTGTGTAATGATTATAATGTTGGGATTTCGAATTTTTTCGTGTTCATGTAAACTATTTTCTATTTTTAATTATGCCTTTAGTGGCGAACATCAAACCCCCAACCCCGAATTTAGTGTATAATTTTATGGAGAAGTGGTATGGCGATAGAGGAGTAGGATATATATGAAATGGAGTTTGGCTTTGTTGCGTAAGTGGCTGTGGAGGTTTCCATTGAATGAGATTTCTTATGGCATTAGATGATTAAGTGTAATCATAGATGGTATTCAGTGGCTGGGATTCACACACTGTGATTAAAGTCGGTGGAAGTTCATTTCTCAGAGGCTGCCTCGTTTTATTTTTGTGTTTTTATTCTATTTGGTGACAGTTTCTCTTTTAATGCTTTCCGTGGCGGATAATTAAGTGAACGTTGGATGCTCTTGGGTTACTCCTCAATATGTTCAAATCTCTGTTGGCAGCGTCTTTTGTAGTTTTTGGTTGAAGTAAGAGAGGCAAAGTGTTGTGGAGCCGGAATGCATTACTTTAGATTTTGGGGGGAGAAAAAAATGGGAGGATTTTTGAAGTGGTTATCCAGGAGATATAATTTTGTGGTAGAAAGGCAAGGATGTGGTGTCATTGTAGGTTTCTGCCGCTAAAGATTTTGAAGATGCCCCTTTGTCCTTATTCATTTGAGTTAGAGGTGTGTTGTTTCATAGATTTTGATGTTAGGTTCTATAACTGTTAAGTTTGTTGATTCTTTTGTTCACTTACCTTTTTCTTCGATTTTCTTCTTCTACTATTTTCTTACTTGAGGATTTCTCATCCTCTCTCTCGTCAAAAAGTTATTTATTGCTTTCATATTGTATTTGGTAGTCTTCTTTTTTGCATTTGTTTTTGTGTACAGAGATGATCTGTTGCTATGTCTAATTTTTTTATTTCGCTTCTTGTTTTGTACATATTTTTATGTTCCTTTTCAGCATAAGTTGGGTAGGGGTCACCGTGACAAAGTGCAGCAGTTCATGACAATAACTGGAGCAAGGTACTGATAATCAGACTTTTCCTTCTCCGTGTTCATAAGTTTATTTTGGTGATGTTGTGGAAAATTTGGTAATTGGTATGTGTACGTACACTTCTAAGCCTACTTTTGTACTAAGAAGAAAAGATTCCTTGTGAAGGGGGAAAATGGAACAGGTACAGAGAAAGAATGTGTGCAAAAGGAGGAATAAATATACTGAAGTGGAGTTTTGAGTTGCTAATTTTATGTCCAATATCCATTAATTTCACTGTTCGCAGAGTAGAATCTAGACCGAGATATATTTTTAGATATTTTATATTTTTGCTACATGGCTAATGACTATGATAAAAGTTGTACCATACTTGTTGTTTTCTTTTTGACATGTTTCCTTTTACATTGAGGGCATACTCTTTATATTCCTCAAAGAAGACTTTATGCGTGTGTCTCCTATTTGAAGAAAATAAAAGTATTGAACATCTGTCTTTACAGTTTTTGGCTTTATTTATGGTTTTCTTGCTGCTGGATTCCTACTTGGTGCAAAGCTCTCCACAGTCTTTTTCCAGGATAGTCTTCCAGTAAGAAAGCCAAGATTTATTAAACTGTTCTGTGGTAGCTATTTTTTGGGTGTTGTGGCTAGAAAGGAAGACTAATCAACCTAGATGATAAAGCTCAACATGGGTAGTTTCTTGGCGTTGGTGTGATGCTTTGAGCTTTTTCATGGTTTTTGACAGTCCAAGATTGTATTGTTCTTTAATTTACATTTATATATTCGCAATTGTGACGTCATTCTCTTACATGGGGTGGTTGTTTTGGTTGATTGATGGAATTCTGGTTCTCCTGTTTGGTTTTTGTTCTCTGGTACTTTCAGTAAGATTTCTGTTTCTTATTAAAAGTAAAGAAAAGAAAGGAAACTCTCTAAGAAGCAGCCATGACTGGTGATGGCTCCCCCGTTTCTCACAGATTCAATAAATCTTTTTCCTTGCGATATATTCATATTCAAAATGTGCGGCTGCTGTGATATTTCTTACCTCAGAGAACTAGTACTATATTGATCAAGTAGGAAATGGTTATGTTTTGTTGTCTGTCTGTTATCCCTGTTTGTATTGTCCAGGGATTCGAGTATAAAAGGTCAAAGAAGAAAACATCCTCTAGGATAGCCACCATCTATCACTATGAATTGTTGATTTATTATCATGCTATTTGTTGAAAAGATCCAAAACATACCATAAGTGATATTATTAGCAATAATTTTTGATATTTCTGTCAATATTTCTGTGGAAATTTCTAATGTTTAAAATTTTATAACGGACCGTTGGTCTAGTGGTATCAGGGGGTGTGGGTTGGATGGGGTTAGAGAGGAGGTTGTGGGTTCAATCCCGTATTGTATAAAAAATATAACTGATCCCATTATAATATCTACTAATGAATACGCTACCCTATTCTTTAATAGTTAATAGGAAGACATTGGGAGACATATATGGGGCATTTGTATGTAATGCTTGGAATTACATTAATTAGTTTCCTTTTCTCTACTAGTGCAGTTCTTTGGTGTATGTCTTCATTTTGTTTTTCATATGGTCACTTTAGATTTGGTTCATGTGAAAATGAACTTTTTATTTTGTGCAGTGAAAAAGTTGCTCTGCAGGCTTTGAAGGCCAGTGATTGGCATCTTGAAGGAGCATTTGATGTATTCTACAGCCACCCCCAGTTTAAATCGTTTACTGATACTAGACACTTGGAGGAGCTTTACAACAGATATAAAGGCAAGTTTGAGTTTCCATTTATCTCAATCCTCTTTTAGACATAATTATACATTTGTCTATGGCACCTGCTGGATGAGTCACGTAAAGACATGTTTCTTGATGATTTCTAGTGTGTTATATTTTTGTACACTTGGAAGTTGGAAACGTAGGATCAGTTAAGCCTAATGACTGATCTGCTTTATTTGACATGAGTTTTCTGCTGTCTGGTTGGAGTGGATATAAGAAAAGCAAGCAGTGAGATGTGCTATGAGCTTGGCAGTGAACTGATTATAGAAAATTAAAAAGTATCCATATAATTCATCTAATGCAGAAATTTTGACTACTAGAGACTTTTTTGGTGGAGTATATCGGTTAAAATGTACGTAGTTTAGCAGAATTTCCGTTTGCTCAAATAGTCAAGTCTTCTTGCAGATCCATACATGGATATGATACTAGCAGATGGTATTACTGTCCTTTGCAATGATATTCAGGTAACTCTTTTTGATTGTGGTAAAACTCTTCATAGACTGTAATTGCTTTGGTTCAACCAGTTCAACCATCCTTCATACTATTGTATCATTGTTTTCTACTTGAATGATGTGTAATCCCTCTGTATTGGACAGGTGGATCCTCAAGATATAGTCATGGTATGTATATTATACTTGAATTTGCATTTGATTGGACATTGAAAAAATCTCTCTTAAAGTTTCCGTTGCATTTTTTTTGGGTGATTTAGATATTGTTAACACAATGACCGTTTGAGATGTAAGAGCATTTGCATAAAAGTTTTGGTAATTTTGGGAAGCTTTTTAACATTTCTACCACAAATATATTTGTTTTAGTTTCTTCTTTTCTCTCAACTAGTGATATCGGTTGAATTTTCTTGACTATGGGTTCAAACAGCTAGTTGTTTCATGGCATATGAAGGCCGCCACCATGTGTGAATTTTCCAAGCAGGAGTTTATTGGAGGATTACAAGCAGTAGGGTGGGTAATTAAATGCTTGATACTTTTTTTTTTGTTTCACTTGCATAAATCTAAATGTCAAATCTAGAAGTACTAAGCAATAATTTTCTCCCTTTTTTTGTTTTTGTTTTTTAAAAACTTTATAATGGCAGGATAGATAGTCTGGAAAAGTTCCGTGAAAGAATACCTTTTATGCGCTCAGAGCTGAAAGATGAACGTATGTGAAAATGCTATTGTTGTAGCATGCTGAATAAACACATTATGATCTTGTGTGCTATGGATAAATTTGTCAAAAAAGCTTATGATAAGTAATGCTTTGTATTTCTTTTCTGAGATAATTTTTGCTTGTGATTTTCAGAAAAGTTCCGAGAGATATACAACTTTGCTTTTGGCTGGGCAAAGGAAAAGGTATTTTTTTTCGTAGCACAAAGTAACTGAATTTTTACGGTTAAACTAAGTAATTAAAATCTTATGTGCAAATGGTACATCTCTACTATACCTAGATCCCGTCTTCTGTGAATATGCAAATTACGCGCGCGCGCGCACGCACGCACAATTCCTCTCTTATGTCTGAACATTCCTTTGTATGCTACAGTCAAGTAAAAAGAGTTCTGATTGATGAGCTACCCTCGACATTAATATGGAATTTCTGTGTTTTTTGTTATATCTGATTGAAACAAATTCTGGAACTAGAGTTCAAAAAGATTCATCTAAGCATATACATGCATTTAATTTAAACATTCCCTAAAAAAAAAAAAAAAAAATAGTTAGCTTTAGGCCAGCCTATCAGCCCTTTTCTGTGAGCTAATGGAGACCTAGTTATCCTAGGTAGAAATCAACAAAAGAAACGCAAGTGGACCTAAACCTCTCTCTCTCTTTTTTTTTTAATTTTTTAAATAGTAACACAAATTCTATAGATGAAATCCCCTTCCTTTTTTTTTTTTTTTTAATGAGAAACACAAAAGGTAGGTGGACCTTAACCATTGAATTGTACTATATCTGCTATTCTGATGGTAAAAGTTAAAATTTTCAACGCTGTTTTTTTTTTTAATTATTTTGTTTTTATTTTGCCCTTTTCCTTTTATATTTCTTTGGACTAGGCGGTAATATGTTGATATTACTGGTTAAAGCTTCCTTATTCCTAGATGTTATGTTCTACAAGAATAAACTGCTATTCCCTATTCATCTTTATTCCTGTATATCAGGGTCAAAAGTCTTTGGCTTTGGATACTGCAATTGGAATGTGGCAATTACTATTTGCTGAAAAGCAGTGGCCGCTGGTTGAACACTGGTGCCAGTTTTTACAGGTGAGTATGAAGTTATAATATGTTTCTTGTGAGTAGTTCGTTGGGATGTTTGTGTAAGATTAGAACTTAACCTTGCTGCCTATACTCCTATAGTTAAGAAGATTCATATAGCCGTGTGTAATACAGCAGAGTCTTTGTGGGGTTCGCAGCCCATTTCGTACTGCTTTTGCTTCGAGACAGTAGAACAAGAGAAGTAATTGCTATGGCTTTTCAGTCATTGGATCACATTTTTGAAAGTGATTGATAGGACAAAAATGATGTATAATTTTTTTTTTTTTTTTTTTTTTTTTTAATGAGCAATAAAAATGTTGAGAGTGAAGTTAAAAAAAAAATTTTGTTAAAACTCTGGTACAAATGTTAAAGTCGTCTAGAAGAGCTTTTTTGACAAGCCACATTTTGTGGCTTTGAGCAGAAGCTCTTCTAGAGGGTCAAAGCTCTTATGAAAAACTATTTAAAGTTCAAGCACTCGCAGAAGTAGTTTTTGGACTCCCAAAGTGAAAAGCAACATTTAGGAAGCAATGCCAAACATGCCATTCAGCTACTGTTGTATATGGTGCTTGTACTATTTAGTCTGTTGTTAATGTCTTATATTCTTTCTTTAAATATCACCAACAGTGTCTTATCAATGTGCAATTAAGATATTGTTATGATGGGTTTTGCACATGGACTATTTTCTACTTAATTGCTTTGTGACTTTGTTGCTTTATCAGGGATGGTGTACTCAGTGGTTTTACTGGCGTAATTCCATAAAGTTTCTAATAATAATCAATATACTAAATTATATTGTCCGATTTGGCTACTATCTATTTAATTTGTTATATGCTCCTTCAGTTACTGACCGAAGTGGTCCAAGTTAATAAAGGTTCAACCAGTCTTTGTAGATGAAAATATAACACTAATTGACATTGTTGGAGTTGGTATTTAATACTCCTTATAGATTTAGCCAACCTCATATAGAAATTATAATATACGCCGTTGATACTATGAAACTCCTTTTCTGTGAATTTATTGGGTCTAATGTTTGATTCCCATAAGTGTCATCAATTCCTAGGGGCCACGCCCGTGGGCCAAAGGCCCAAGATTTACCTGATCCATGTGGTTTGCATGGGTGCTGTGGACTAGTCGGGGCAAAGTCTCGGATACCACAGTTATCCAAAAAAAAAAAAAAAAAAAAAAAAAAAAAACTGTTATACTCCCTCCAGTTTCAATTTTCAACGTTGTGCTGAAGTGCTATCACATCTTAAAAATGTGGCAATACACATTTCAATTCAACATTTGTTGTCTGTTTTGTGGTAGCATTTAAAAAATCTTGTGAACCTCTATGATTTGCTTTCTTTTCCAAGGGCACAAGCTGAATGAAATTTCAAATGCATTGGTATCTTGCTATCATTTCCTTTTTCCCTCTTATTTTATTTTATTTATTTTTTTATTTTTTTAACTACAGGCAGTGTAATTGTTATCTGCCCTTGTTCTTGTGTAATTTTTTTCCCCTGTGCGCTTACCAGGCATTTTGTTGTAAATTTTGAAGATTTCTCTGATCTCTTTAGATTATCTTGTGCGTTCACTTTTCTTTGCTTTGTGTGGATTTTCTTCCCAAACGTGTGGGTTTTTGTTGTTAAACATACGTTTGATCTTCAGCTTAGGATTATTATTTTTCTCCTCAAATTATTTGCCTATTCCAAGATTCTCTCATGTGAATCTTTGCTGCTAGTAAGAGTAGACTTCTGGTCAGTTTGGATCTGATTGCGTTAGATGCTTGGCTGATAAGTATCAGGTCACGGCATTTGTGCATGGGAAAGTACCTCTAAGCCAAAAATTAGATATATGTGTGCTTTGAAGACATCACTTATTATAGAGATTATTTTATCGATTTCCTCCTATGATTAGGATGGCTTTCTATTTTAACTTCTCAAGCTTGCTTCTTTTACTTTTTTAATTGCGCCGATTTATTTATATTTTATTGCTACTCTGGGCATTTATAAGAAATTCGGGTCTTGATTCAGGCGCGACATAATAAAGCCATCTCGAGGGACACATGGTCTCAGCTATTGGAGTTTGCAAGGGTAAGATATGATGCAGTTAATGTCCTGCCAATCTGTTTTTTTTTTGTTATTGTTATTTTTTTTTGTTTTTTTTGTTATTGTTATTGTTTTTTTGTTTTTTTTGTTATTGTTATTGTTTTTTTGTTTTTTTTGTTTTTTGCATTCTATTCATGAATGATCCTTGTGCACTCTGCCCATGCCTGGGAGACGAGGCATGCGAACTGTGGCGAGATGTATATTTTCATTCTTACTGGGCAAAAGAAGTATAAGCAAAAGTTAAAATTTAAAAAAGAAAAAAAAGAAAAAAACCTCTCTTAATAATTGTATGGGTGCCTTGGTTTATGCGAAAAGTAGTTTTATGCATTTTTACGGAATACATTAGTTGTATTTTGCTATACGTGAAGTAGTGTTAGGCCTTCCAAAAGCAATATCAAATTGAAACTAAAATTCCAAGGAGCAGAGTTTCTTCATGATATCTAATGAAGTATGTGAAAAGTACAATAACAGATAAGAATATCATGAGCATGTGTTGAAATTGAATTCTCTGCCAGCGATTCAAATAGGAAATACTAAATGGTTTCTATTGTCTCTATGTTTGCAGACGGTGGACCCCTCGCTGTCGAATTACGATCCTCAAGGTGCTTGGCCATATCTCATCGATGAGTTTGTTGAGTACTTACTGGAGAATCACCTAATCCAAGCTGATCAAATGACTGATTGGAACCAGAAGCGGTGATGTATTGTTGGACTGGTGAATTAGGAGTGTTTTCTTATTTTTCATTAGTGTGATGAAGTTGTGCTGCCTTGTGATTGCGCTCAGATTGGCAAAATAAGACCAAATAGGGAAAAGAAAAAAAAAGAAAAAAAGAAAAAAAGGGTTAAAAAAGACTTGCTCATTCAAACAATGTTTCCATTGGCATTGTTCATGATCAGTAAATGAGAATGTTGGTATTGGTATATGCAATTTCTGTTCAAATAAAAGACAGGAACTGAACACCCGGTGCTTACGTTTTGGTTTGAGGAATAACTCATCTTTGTAATCTCTTTAAGATTTCACGCGCATCATGTATATGTGTGTACATATATGTTAGCCATCACTTTGTGGATTTTGGTTGCCTGATATCATTTGTGTCGCGGCCCAAGTCATATATATGTATATATATATATCTATATATATATATATATATTATTTTCCCTAGAGGAATTTACGCAACTGAAATGGTTTTAGATCGATCCCTTGCTAGGTACATTAACCTTTTCGTTATTAGGTTTGAACCAACAAATTCACAGTTTCCCATTTAAGAAAATACAGTGACAGGAGATTAACAAATTTATATATGGCACGTTCACAACTATATTTAACAATATTTAAACAATATTTAACTATATGGCACAGTTTCTCATTTAAGGTTTCGTTCATTTCACCGATTTGAGTTTTCAGTTTTAAATTTTTACAGTAAAAAGTTCTCATAAAATATCACATTTAACTTTTTCTGCTACAGTGAAAAATTCTAAAAAAATGTCACATCTTAGCTCGAATTGAAAACTCGAATTCGCGAAGTGAACCAGTTCTTAATTTAACATGCATGATTTTTTCTTTTAATTTTTTAAACATTTTTATTTATGTATCTCCACCTTTTTAATATTATTACAAAATTGGTGGTTTTGCTTGATCCAAACATCACATTAAGGTTTGAAACATCATCTCTAATGCTACGTTTGATATGAAGGATGGAAAATAGAAAGGAAATAGTGTAAAATACTTAAGTGAAAGAAATAAAATAATATAAGGGGGTTTTTTTTTGTTTGGTAGAAGACAAAGAAAAGTGAAAAAAAAAATGCAAAATCTAATGTATTTTATAATAATATTCTTGTGCAAATAAAAGGATGATGGGTGATTAGGGTCCAATTAGTTATTTTACTTCCCATTTGTTTGTCAAATTTTTTCCTCCTATTTCTTTACAAAGTTTGGATTAGAAAATGGTGAGCCCTATAAATTTACAACTTCCTTCCTAATTTTACTTTCTTAAATACTTGACTTACAAAAAGTACCTAAATTGAAAAACTCTGTCCTTTGACTAGTTCTAATTTAAAAGGTAGAAATGTATGAGCTAATGTTAATGAGTAGAAATTAAAGGGGCTTCATTTCAAGAGGTATTTTTAAAAATTTCCCTTCCCCTATTTCCTCTCTACCAAACAACCTTAGATTCTCTTTTCCTCTAAAAAAATCCTTCCTCTAAACATAGGCTAATTGTAAATCCAAACTGCATTAAAACTGTATGGGTTGATCATATAAATTGCATTAAAACTGTATTACATATACATAGAAATAGAGAGATATATATGTACAAATTAAACTGGTCCTTCCACACGATAATGCAAATGATTTTGTCTTTGTATCTCCAATAGGTACTAATTGATGTTTCTGTACCCTTGCACATTTCTGTTTGTATATATATATATATATATATACTATTGATATATTCTTCAGGCACGGCAAAGGATAATTGGGTTGATCATATAAATTGCATTAAAACTGTATTACATATAAATAAAAATAGAGAGATATATATGTACAAATTATGGACAAATATGAGAGGAATAATTGTTGTGGTACTGAGAGTAGTCGTAATTTCAATTACTTTGTTTGTTAATCACAAGGATAACCATAGTCCAACTACGACTATGCATAATATTTGGGTTGATCATAAGATTGCTCTGCATAATATTTCTCCATGCAGAATTCGTAGAACGGCCGTTCTACTTCCCACTTGAATCGCCTCCACCTTTGTCGGATCCACTCATTCCTCCCAATATTCACAAGGATAACCATAGTCCAACTCAAGTATTACTATGGATTGGACGTTGTGCGAAGTGGGGTCGTCAAGAATGCCATGAGGAATTGGAACACAGATGGAAAGACAGTAAAATATGAAAAACAATTTGCTCGTTGTTACCATCAGAAATTTCAAAAATGCATCGAGACAGAAGAACCCTCATAAGGCATATATATATATATATATATATATATATAGTTACCAAGGTAGACAAATCAGAGTCTTCCTTTCTAATATACATCTGTTCAACGGTGGCGTAGGTTATGTTTTGTGAGGCCAAGACGGATATTCCATTGATGTCCGAGTGGAATTAATCACTTGCATGCCCCTGCATATTCTTTTTTACTTTCGCTTTACATCATATATTTAGTTCTTGTATTGATTTCATAAATGTGTCGTGGGTGTTCAAAGGGATGCTTTTAGAAATTCGAGACATGTTGAAGGGAAATTGAAAATTAGACTGCCTATAAACGACGTCTTATAAAAAAAATGTAAAATGTATACACGCACATTAGACATCGATTTTTTAAAACCGTCATCTATAGTAGAACATTAAAGACAGTTTATTTGAAAACCGTCGTTTCCGCTCATTCTTTTTCTAAAATTCTCAAATTTTCTCTCATCCTTTATAATTCAAGCGCCAATCCTATTTTCAACCCATGTACTTTTCAAGGCTGGATTCCATTTTCGGTGTAGGTTGGGGCGGCGAGGGGCCTGTGGGTTTGTCGTATTAGACGGGCATTTCCATAGATGATTATATGTGTATATGTGTCTATAATAAATCTTAACATATCGTTTCATGGCAATATTACTAATTTAGGATAGGAGCATGATTTCCACCAGCAGCGTGGTTTCACAACTTAGATGGTTAAGTTAATGATTAATTATGAAAAGTCAAGAAGAGCGATAGATCATCTAATAATGAGTCTTTACTATAAGCATTCGGTTGAGAAATCTGGTATTTCTCACTCAAAAATAACTTCATTGTGAGCATTATTTATAAATAGTACCGTACGCGTGAATAGTATCGTATAGATGAATAATATTATACGCAGCGGACAAATCTGACAGAATAACTATTGAATACTGAAAATAAATAAAAGAACATCATAATTGATAACGGAGTTCATCCAAATATTGCCTACGTCTCCGGGCACTGTGGACCACACTATTTACTAAAGAGAAGAAAAATTACAAATTGGAAAGAAATTACAAAATCTCACAAATTAGAAATCTAAAGAATTTCTTACAAATTTACAAAGAAGAGAAGCTCTCAGTTTTTGGGATGCAAGACAAATGAGAGGAGGCTTGTATTTATAGCCTCTGCCTCCCTCTCTTTTATGCGTGAACTAACTGTAAACAGTTGAATTCACTTTCTAAAATAGCACCGTTTTTGGTGCTCTCTTTTCTTCTTCTCTCTTTCTAACATTATCTTTTAGTCTTTAATATAAATGTGCGGTATATATTTTTAACAATGAACTACCCATATTGACTAACACATTCATCATTTTTTGGGATTGACACAATTGGAATTGAAGATAGATATTAGATTTTCTTGGAACAACAACTAGTGTCAAATCTGAACCCATACCAATACAATTAGATTTTCATCTATAAAGCGTATCAATTAAATTTTTTTTTTTTTTTCATGTAAACATCTTTGACTTGGACATCGATAGTGCCATGTTATCATACATTTTGTGTTCTCTCTAGTATTTTTTTTTTCTCATGTACGTCATGTCAGTACCCTTGTATCCATTCACCACATATCCTACATTTTTTTGTATCCATAGACGTGGCTCACATATGTTCTCCCACGAACCCAAAAACAATCATTAATAGAGACAGCCTAGTTGCAAGAGAGAAACCTAGTTAACAGAAAAAAGAAAGAAAGAAAACTTATTTAAAAAGTTTGATATCCGAGTCAAGGATTGCGTCTTTAACAAGTTGGTGCTTTCTTAATTGTTTTGGATTCTGTTTTTATTATATATTTTTTATGTGTTTTCCACAAAGTAGTCATGATCTAATTATTTTTTTCTATTTTTTTTATAAATGGTAAAGGAGAATAATTTTAATATCAACAAAGCAGTGATCCTAATTTTGAGCAATATTGCTCAAAACATCCTAATTAAGTTGACACCTTACCAAAGCCCCAACTCAAGTATTATTAAAATAAAAATTTAAAAAAACAACAAAAAAATGTGAAACAATCAAAACAACTCAAAAGCAAATTAGAGTATAAAACACTGATCTGTGCATCGAAATTATTTTTTTCTAAATGAAGACTTCAACAACCTTCCTATGGCGAGAAGACATGCATGGCACTTTCAAACTCCCTTTTACATATTGTTTCCCTCCTACAAATATGTAAATGATTAAATTCCATAGAAAAACAAGGTTGCTTATTTCCCTTACTTCAGTCTCTAGCTTAGCAATGGAAGACAACAACCTCCAACAGCTTTCACATCATGAGAATGATGATGACGCCATGGAAGAGGAGATTTTCGGCGGCGGTGGAGGCGAGATCTCAACGCACCGGGTGCTCGTCGACATCGGTGACGGTACCGAAAACCCCGAACCACAATCATTCTCTTATGTTCTCTCTTTTAGAAACCTCAGTTACAACGTCAACCTCCGTCAGAAATTGACCTTTCAATCCCTACTTACAAGAACCGCGAAGCCGATAACTAAGATAATCCTAAAAGACATCTCCGGCGAAGCGCACGTCGGCGAAATACTCGCACTCGTAGGCGCCAGCGGCTCCGGGAAAACGACACTGCTCGACGCTTTAGCGAATCGAATTGAGAAAGAGAGCTTAAAAGGAAGTGTGGATTTGAACGGCGAGGTGTTGGAGTCTCGGTTACAGAAAGCGATCACGGCATACGTAATGCAAGACGATTTGCTATACCCAATGCTAACGGTGGAAGAGACATTGATGTTCGCTGCAAAGTTCCGGCTTCCCCGGACACTAGAAAAGTCCAAGAAGAAAGAGCGAGTCCAGGCCGCGATTGACCAATTAGGCCTCCGAAGCGCGGCAAGGATGATCATGGGTGACGAAGGGCACCGCGGAATATCTGGCGGCGAGCGGCGACGCGTCTCAATAGGAGTCGACATAATTCACGATCCTGTTCTCCTGTTCTTGGACGAACCGACTTCAGGGCTTGATTCGACGGGCGCGTTCGCGGTGGTGAAGGTCCTAAAGAGGATCGCTCGGAGCGGCAATGTCGTCGTCATGTCGATTCACCAACCTAGTTACCAAATTCTTGATTTCCTCGATCGACTGATCTTCCTCTCTCACGGAGAAGTTGTCTATAGAGGATCTCCGCGAAATCTTCCCGTGTTCTTCTCCGGCTTCGGTCGACCGATTCCAACCAACACAAATCCAGTTGAATTCGTGCTTGATCTGATCTCCGAGCTCGAAGACTCGACCGACGGAATCAATGGTTTGGTGGAGTTCAACAAGACGTGGGAATGTCCTGAATTTTCCACCAACTCCATTAATGGAAATGTTAATGGCTCGAATGTTCTTCCCCTCAAAGATGCATTAAATTTTGGAATTTCCAGAGGCAAGTTAATCATAAATGACAGTACTAATTTTCCGAGTTTTGCAAATCCCTTATGGATCGAAACTCTGATCCTACTTAAGCGCTCAATCACCAATTCACGAAGATCACCAGGAATATTCTTGATCCAATTTCTTACGATCTTATTTGGTGGTGTTTTCATAGCCTCTCTATTTTGGCAGCTTGATGAGTCCTCTCAAGGGGTCCAAGAACTCCTATCATTTTTCGCCTACACCATAACGCTGCCCTTCTTTTGTACATGTCAGTCTCTCCCTCTTTACCTCCAAGACCGAGACATCTTCATCAGAGAAACCGCTTACAACACTTATCGCCGATTCTCCTATGTTCTCTCTCGTTCCCTAGTGGATCTCCCACTTCTAATCATCTTCACGCTTACCTTATCGACGATCACATTTTGGGGCGTGGGGATCGCCGGAGACTTGGTTGGATTCATGTTCTACTTCTTGATCATTTGTGGCTCGTTTCTGGTTGGAAATTCAGTTACTGCGTTCGTCTCTGGCCTAGTTCCAAACATTCTTATCGGATTCACGGTTGTGATGTTGTTCTCCGGGTATTCCGTTCTCTTATGCGGATTCTTCCTCCACAAGGATCAAATACCTCCTTATTGGATTTGGTTCCACTATATCGCGGTCAGCAAGTATACATACGAAGCGCTTGTGCGGAATGAGTTTGAGAGACCGACCAAGTGCTTCGAGAGAGCTGTGGAGATGTTCGACAACACGCCGTTTGCTAATGTATCGCCCGCCATGAAAGCGAGTTTGTTGGGAGACTGGAGCACCTCGCTAGGGATGAACGTGACGAGCTCGACGTGTACGAGGACTGGTTTCGACGTTTTGCAAGAGCAAAGTTTCAGTGATCTCAACAAGTGGAATTACATGCTGGTTCTTTTAAGTTGGTGTTTCTTTTACTGGATTCTGTTTTTTTTTTCATTGTTACTTGGGAACAAAAATAAAAGGAAGTAGCTAGCAAAAATAAAAAGCGATTGATTAATGTGCTTGTGTTAGCTATATGTGTATGAGTATAGTCGTTTGCAAATTGTAAGCTTTGTCTGAAGAGTTTAAATTTTCTTTCCAAGTAATAAATTGTTGAAAATAAGAAAAAGACTTAAAAAGTATCTCTCCTTTCTTTAAGAAATTAACATTTTTCATTGCAACAAAAAAAGTAAAATAAAAAATAAAAAATAAAAAATAAAAATCATAGCTTCTCTGTTTAAAAAGTTTACATGGCCAGTGAAGAAACCTACATAAGTTGATCAAGGTGGTCGATTAAGGTGAAAATTTCCAAGCTCAGTCATACTTTCGTAATTGAATATAAACCTGTAACTTGAAAAGGGGGTCGATTAAGAGAAGATTTAATAGATCAGGTGCACTATGAATGAACTCATATAAATACAAATTAAAATGAAATAATTGGGCAAGTTGCTCAAAATTATTAATCTCTTAAAATCAATTGAATTCCTAATTTAAAAATTGATACAAATAAATCCAAACAACTAACAAAAGTAACTATGTAATTAGAATTAACTTTTGTTGACAGTTAAATTTAGTCAACTAACGATTAACTCTCCAGAAACACTCACAGACGTCTCTCACGGATTAAATCAAGAATTAACGTTGCAGAAAAATAAGTTTATAATGATTCGGCAAGAATTCTTTGCCTACGTCCAATTGTGGATGTACTAGTATTCTGTTGATTACAATCTTTTTCTGCAGTAAAATGGTGTCTAAAAAACTTAATGAAGGAAGCATGCTCTATTTATAGGCCTTTTACATATTAGAGATCTCCTCTGCATTTCCCGAGGAGATCATCCCCTTACCCCTAAATCTAGGGATCTGGCAGTTGTACTTTCACGATTTTAGCTACCAAATCAGGCCAATCACCTTTATCGGTAATCTGATTTCCTAATCTGAATTGTGGCAGTTGTTGCAGTGTATCTTTTCTTGAGATGACAGGATTTGGTTTAGATTTGACCGGGCTGCTTTCTCGACGTCGTGAATCTCACGGCTTAGGCGGAGTTCTCGACGCATATCCTCCTCTTGCATGAACTCTTATCGTCTTGAGGGCATCCTACGTACCACTATTTCTTTGACGTCAGCAACCAACTCTCGACTGAGAATATCTCAGCGCTTGGCAGTCAAAGAAACGATCAATTACTCGACCGTGCGTAACAACTTTCTCTTATATGGCCTGCAAGATAAAGTTCCGATTTCAATCTTGTAATAGAAGGAACCAGTATGGTTGAGGCTAAATTTTATTTTATTTTTTCCTTCTCTTTTCTTTTGATTTTCTGAGAAAATAAAGACAGGGGGATCACTTTTATAAAGGGTGTAGAGGTGCAGAGAAGGGATGCCAATTGTTGGGGCACATAGGCGTAAGTAAATATGTCAATGGGGTCAAAAACGAAGTAATAAAGTGATACGTAGAATATTGTTCCGACGGAAATTACGTTTAATTTGGGCTAGTTACTGAAACTAAGAACTCAAGAATTATTTGAATGATAAATTAAAAGAAAAATAATTAAATTAAATTGGACAAAATAAACTAACGATAAAAATAAAATCTTTTAGGACTACAATTTCACCCTAATTAATCTCATTTGAATTAATTTCAATCTCTAATTGATTAATTACAATCATTCAAATTGTTAATTGAATGCACCAATTACCTAATCGCCTCTACCGATAAATTAGTAGGCACATTCATATTAATCAAAACTATTATATTCTTTTGAGTAATTAATTAACACAAATTCATTAAGCACAAGCACTCAAAATGACTTCACATGCATTAAGGATATATTCCTATTCCAAATTGCATATGTTATCCTATTATTGATCAAGACTAAAAATACATTTTCTAATTTCATTAAAGTACTCCAACATCATAACCAAATTAGTGGCCAACTAACAAGGAGTATTAAACATCTAATGTGATAAATAATTTCAAATAATCTAATAAAAATCAAAGAGAGCAAAATAACTCAAAATCCGTAATATATTTTGCTTGTAATTGTCTCCTTATTGAAATCTAATATCAAATTGCAAGATCAACACAATCATTTGTTTTTTGTTTCAAAGAAAAGGCGTCTTATAATAATGTATTCATGAACAACGGCTTTTCAATTTTATTGTTTAATATTTCTTTATTATTTTAAAATGCGTAATTCATATCTACTTCTGACACTTCAAAGGATAGTGAAACACACGATTGTCAATAATACAATACCAACAACATCAATCATGAGATTGATCTGATGCATAAATAAATATATATATATATATATATTCCTTATTTTTTTTTAATCTTCTTCCAAGTCCATTATATGTTACCAATTAATTATTAGTAGAAGACATTCAACGTGGGGAATATATAAGACATGCATATATTCTATATACCCCATTAGTCATGGAACAACAAGAAAATAGTAAACATAATTGGTCATCTCCTAGAATAGTGGGATTTTTGCTAGATTGGTTTCCTTGATTAGAGGGATTTTATATTGCTTGTAATTAAGCCTTATCATGTATAACACTCTGCCAATGCTTCGATCAAGATATGTGTTTTGGATTAAGTTTTTATTCTATATTTCCTCTAATTATTTTCACATCGAGTAGTGATCCTAATTATTGGTTTTACATATTATAGATTTCATGACAACCACAACTTTGGGACGAGACGTGGTACTATGAAACTCGTTTATTGTCTCCCTCTAATTTGTAAATAATTAGATTATTTGTTTCATAAATAAACAAGCATACATACAAATTACATACAAATAATTGACACATTTTTTTTCTTATATTATATTCAGAGATGCCGGTAACTATATATCTGACCACTCATTTTGGGTTTCCCAAAACAAAGAACACAAAACGAAACAAATAGGCGAAGATAAACAAACTACATAGCTTCACAATGGAAGATAACAACGTCCAGAAGCTTCCACAACAAAACGACGACGTAGAAGAGGAGGATTCTACGGCGCACAAGGTGATCGATGTCGACGACGACGACACTAAAAACTTCGAGTCACGGCCATTCTCTTTTGTTCTGGGTTTTAATAACCTAAGTTACAGCGTCAAGCTCCGTCAGAAGTTAACTTTTGCATCGCTGCTTACGAGAACCACTAAGCCGGTGACGAAGACAATTCTAGACGATATCTCCGGCGAAGTGCGCGACGGCGAAATGCTCGCGCTCCTAGGCGCAAGCGGCTCAGGAAAATCGACGCTGCTTGACGCCTTAGCCAATAGAATAGCCAAAGAAAGCTTAAAAGGAACCTTGACTTTAAATGGCGAGGCTATGGATGCTCGGCTTTCCAAGTCAATCACGGCTTATGTAATGCAAGACGACCTGTTATACCCGATGCTCACAGTGGAAGAGACGCTAATGTTTGCGGCAGAGTTCCGACTTACTCGGACGATAGGAGAATCCAAGAAGAAGGAGCGAGTTCAAGCATTGATAGACCAATTAGGCCTCCGAAACGTTGCAAAAACGATAATCGGCGACCAAGGCCGCTGAGGGGTATCGGGTGGAGAACGACGCCGTGTCTCGATCGGAGTTGACATAATTCACAATCCGATTCTTCTATTCTTGGACGAACCGACGTCGGGCCTGGACTCGACGAGCGCTTTCACGGTGGTGAAGGTGCTAAAGAGAATTGCTCAGAGCGGCAGCGTCGTCGTCATGTCAATTCACCAACCTAGTTTCCGAATCCTCGATTTGCTCGACCAGTTGATCTTCCTCGCCCACGGAGAAGTTGTTTATAGAGGAACTCCCACAAATCTTGCTCGATTTTTCTCCAACTTCGGCCGACCAATTCCCACCAACGCAAACCAAATTGAGTTCGTGCTTGATCTAATCTCCGAGCTCGAAGACTCAACCGGCAGAATCAATGGCTTGGTGGAGTTCAACAAGACGTGGAAAAGTCCTGAATCTTCCACCAACTCCATTGACAATGTTGTTAGGGATGTTCTTCCCCTAAAAAGTGCCTTAAGCTTGGGAATTTCTAAAGGCAAGGTAATTTCAAGCGATATTACCAATTTCGGCAACGTTTTGAGTTTTGCGAATCCGTTGTGGATCGAAACCCTAGTTCTACTTAAGCGTTCGGTGACGAATTCGCGAAGATCGCGCGAAATATTCTTCACCCGATTGATTTCGGTACTGATAACTAGTTTGTTCTTCGGCTCACTATATTGGCAGATTGATGATTCCATTGAGGGGGTGCGGCAACGCCTTGGGTTCTTTCCCTTTGCCGTAACATTGACATTTTTAACTACATGTCAGTCTATCTCTATTTACCTCCAAGAGCGATACATTTTCATCAGAGAAACTGCTTACAACACCTATCGTCGATCCTCTTATGTTCTCTCGCGTTGCCTAGTGGATATCCCAACACTAGGCATCCTCACGCTCGCCTTCTCGACGGTGACGTTTTGGACTATCGGGCTGGCCGGAGGCGTCGCCGGATTCCTCTTCTACTTCTTGGTCGTATGCGGCTCGTTCTGGCTCGGAAACTCACTCGTTGTGTTCATTTCCGGCCTAGTTCGCAACACCCTTGTCGGATTCACGGTCATGTTGTCCTTCACAGGGTATTGCCTGCTCTTTTGCGGATTCTTCATCACCAAGGATCGACTGCCGGATTATTGGATTTGGTTCCACTACATTTCTCTCATGAAGTACCCTTATGAGGCGCTTATGCGGAGCGAGTTCGAGAGACAGACAAAGTGTTTTGCGAGGGGTGTGGAGATTTTCGATGGTACGCCTTTTGCTGATGCGTCGGGGATGAACGTGACGAGCTCGACGTGCGTGACGACTGGTCTGGACATTTTGCAAATACAAGATGTGAATGATCTCAACAAGAGTGGCAATGTTTGTTGGTTACATTGGGTTGGTGTTTCTTTTATTGGATTTTGTTTTATTTTTCTTTATTACTTGGAAGCAAAAATAAAAGGAAGTAGCTCCC